CGTGAAAGGAGGCACACCAGCAGCGATGCCTCAGATAGAGAAACTGGCAACACTGACGGCTCCTCGCTGCTGCTGCTGCTGCTGCTGCTGCTGTTGCTGCTGCTGCTGCTGTTGCTGCGGAGAAGCAGCGCTGCTGCTGCTGATACAACAGCAGCACGGGATTCACTGTTGCGCTGCTGCTGCTGCTTCTGCTGCTGCTGCTGCTGCAGCAGCGGATGCTCACCTTGCAGCAGCAGCAGCAATTCTTCCTTCTGCAGCAAACACGTAAACGCCACACAGCAGCAGAACCCTGATGCAGCAGCAGCAGCAGCAACAGCAGCAGCAGTAGCAACAACAACGAGAGCAGCAACAGCAGCAGCAGCAGCAGCAGCAGCAGCAAACTCACCGCAGAAGGCAGCAACTTGCAGAGACTCAGTGCTGCTGCTGCTGCTCTTAGCTGCAGCCCCCACATACGCAGCCTCGTCATATGGCCCTCTGCTGCTGCTGCTGCTGCTGCTGCTGCTGCTGCTGCTGCTTCTGCTGCTGCAGAAGTAGAGCAAGCAGATGAAGGGGAGCACTGCAGCTGCAGCTCCCTGCTGCTGCTGCTGCTGCTGCTAAGCACCCAGTGCCTTGCTGCGCGCTTGCTGCTGCTGCTGCTGCTGCTGCTGCTGCCGTGGTTTGCAGCTAGCAGCACCAGGGGCAGCAGCACGCCAGCCTGCTGCAGCTTTTTTGCTGCTGCTCTTGCAGCAGCAGCAGCTGCTGCTGCTGCAGCAGAGTCTTCAGGGGTTTCTTCTGTGGCCTCATCCACAGCAGCAGCAGCAGCAGCAGCAGCAACTGCTGCTGCTGCTGCTGCTGCTGCTGCAGACAACGGTCTGTCTTCTGCTGCTGCAGCATCGCTCTCGAGCCGCCACACATCCAACGCAGCAGCAGCTGTTCTCCCCTGCAGATGTCTTAATCTGCTGCTGCTGCTGCTGCTGCTGCTGCTGCTGTNTGCTGCTGCTGCTGCTGTTGCTGCTGCTGCTGCTGCTGCTGTTGCTGCTGCTGCTGCTGCTGCTGCTGTGCAGCAGACACAGCAACACAAAGACGGAACGGAGGGAAGATAACCAGAGAATTGGTAGCTTCGCTCGGCTGTTGCTGCTGCTGCTGCTGCTGCTGCTGTTGCTGCTGCTGCTGCTGCAGCAGCAGATGCCGGCTAGGCAGAGAGGCCGTAGCACTTTTGCTGCGTCTTGCTGCAGCAGCTGCAGCAGCGGCGCCACCAGCAGCACGAAGCGCTCTTGCTGCTGCTGCTGCTGCTGAGAAAAGAGAGCAGCCTTTGGCTGCTGCTGCAGCACCGCGAGGATTGCTGCTGCTGCTGCTGCATCTACAAGCAGCAGCAGCAGCAGCAACGTCTCCTCCCTTAGTAGTGAGGCCTCCTGCAGCTGCAGCAGCAGCTGCTGCCACAGAATGCCTGCTGCTGCAGCAGCAGGAGCCGCTGCTGCAGCAACAGCTGCTTCTGCTGCTGCAGGCGTCTCCGAGGCAGCAGCTGCTGCTGCTGCTGCTTCGCGTAGAGAAGAAGCAGCAGCAGCAGCAGTGGCAGAGGGTACTGCTGCTGCTTCTGCTGCTGCAGCAGCTGCAGCAGAAGCAGCAGCAGAAGCAGCAGCAGACATTGCATTCACAGGCGAGAGAGGAAGAGAAGGAAACGAAACTTCTGCTGCTGCTGCTGCTGCTGCTGCACCCTGGCAGCAGCAGCGTTCGTGGTTCTCCCCGCAGCACCAGCATATACCTCCGCTGCTGCTGCTGCTGCTGTTGCTGCTGCTGCCGCTGCTGCTGCGGGTACTCAGCAGCCCCCAAGGGTTCTCTTGCTGCAGCAGCAGCAGCGCGACGCCCTGCCACATACAGTGCAGCACTTCTTGCGAGACAGCGTGCTGCTGCTGCTGCTGCTGCTGCTG